TTTAATTATTTGTAAAATTGAAAAAGTTTCAGGGGCAATAACTCATTGAAGGAGTCACCGAATACTTTCGCAATGAATAGATCCCAGAGTCCTCTCAATGAGTCGAAGACTTTAGTGAAGGTTTCATATTTCTACGGTTTACGGTTTCAAAGGAGTAGCGATAACAAGCATTTCTTTCGAAAGGGGCAATAACTTCGAAAGCGGACATAGTTCATACGCGTTGGGTCAAATTTGTTCATAACTTTTAATGACCTTTACGATGAACAAAAAGTCTTTTCGATAAATGTCGAAACAAAAAATCAGCGGAAGAAGAATAATAATAATAATAATAATAACTAGATGCGATCTCGTTGCAAGCAACGAGTAGGTCTTCCGTCCGACCCGTGTTGGGATAGTTCCACTGATAGGATAAAAAAATGTCAAAAAAGCACAAGAATTCTCCAAAATATGTTTATTAGAAACATAAAAAAATGTAGGATCTATCAATTCCAATCAACTTCCGGTTCTACTTCTTCACTTCCGGTGCGACTGTATGTGCTCAAAGCTACTTTCAACTCTACATCAAGCATGCAGTAATCGTCCCTGAAAGTTTCAATAGAAAATACTCATTTTCAGACAACTTCCGTTTTGAACGAACCGTACTTCCGGTGGAAATATTAAGATGCTACGCAATATTAAATCTCTATAATGAACAATTACATTCATTGGAAAATAAAAAAAAATCGCTATACACGTACATGTATTTAAATTACATGTACTTCCGGTTTTCAACGGAAATGTCGACGGAAAAAAAATGAACAAATTAAAAGTATGCATAAAGTTGGGAACATTATTTTGATCATCTTTTGTTCAATATTGCTTATCAAAATATTCACGCTTTTCGAGATATAAAGCGTCAAAGATTTAGCATTCTAGCCCCTTGTAACCCTTTATTATGTAACATATGATCATATTATTAGTACATATTGTTGCAAATCGTTAAGTTGAATATCTTTGCTTCAGTAATGTATCACAAAATATTGATCATTAAAGAGTTAAAGACGAGAGACTTTTGGCCCCTCTATGCCCCTAATTTGAAGGGCTAACCCCATTTTCTTTATATCAAATGAAAGATCTTACTATATTGCACATTTTTTATTATATATATCTTAACAAAATATTAACCAGTAAAAAGATATAAAAGAAAACGTATCAATATTTGCGAGATGCGTATGAGCCCATTTTTGGAGCCCAGGCGAGCGTCGATGCCTTTTCACCTGGAAAGCTGTATATGCAAAATGTCACATCTACTATCCTTCCTCTACCTTCACTGAAAATCTCAAGTCGATATCTTCAGTCGTTTAGGAGGAGATCTCAGGACAAGCTGACCCTCTAAAAATCAGAAAATCGTCCATATCTCACGACCGGAAGTGACGTCATCAACGACGAAAATTTCCGACAAGGTTCAGATGAATATCTATCAGAACTGAAAGTTTGGTGAAAATCCAGAGAGCCGTTTCCGAGAAATCGCGTGCACAAAATCGGTAAGAAAAATAATAATAATAGGGAAAAAGAAACCGAACGAAAACAATAAGGTCTTCCGTTGGAGACGAAAGACCTTAATAAACAGAAGAAAATCAATAGGTCTTTCCACAGAAAGGTGGAAAGACCTAATAATAAGAAACAGAAGAAAATCAATAGGTCTTTCCACAGAAAGGTGGAAAGACCTAATAAACAGAAGCATTTCAAGAGGTCTTTCCACAGAAAGGTGGAAAGACCTAATGATATGAAAGTACTAGTATAAAAAGGGAATCGTTAATATTGATTCCATATACTAGTATGTAATACAATTATAATGAACAATTAATCAAACTCAGTCATTTTTCCCTTTTGTTTTCACTTTTAAAAACGTTTGTTAAATTATCCCTCGATTCTAACTGTCGTTGATGTCCCTGGTATACCCAACAAACAAAACAGTAATTTTTATGTATTTATAGGTGAATTATTTTATTACAAATGAGTAACTCCATGAAAAATTCAATAGATATAACAACGTGAGAAGACAACGGGGATAAAAGCAGCCAAAGCAATCAGCTCACGCATCAGACGTCGGTCATAATCGTTTGTTTTTTTTTGTGTTTCCTGGAAAATGAAAATAACAAATATAATCACGCTCAAACTATAATGATATAAATTGGGAGCAGAGAAAAATAAACACAAACCTCTAAAATATAAGCTATAGGTGAGATAAAGAGTCGTGGAGGAGTAAGCATCCTTGTCCCACCGTCCGCGTGTTCCTGGCCTTGTCATTAATCGGGCAAATGGAAAAATTCATAACATGCACAGTGAAAAAATAAGGCTGACAAAATGCACGTCTTTCTTTGATTGAATCATAGATTGTTTTTGCTTAAAAGGTCATTGCTTCGACCATACCATTTGTAAAATGTTTATTTCAACGAGATTTTTCAATATACTTGTAGTTTCAACTAATTTTTCAATAGTTTGCATAGATTGAGAAAGTGTTTCTTATGCAGAGAACGGTCATGTTTTTGCCATGCACATCGAATCAACTGCGAGACAAAAACTCTTGTGCAGGTGATCATAATATTTTGCTAAATAAATAAGGGAAAATGACGATAGAAAAGTTAAACAACAACATTATTATCATAAAGTTTTGTTGTTAAGTTTCCATTTACGTCTTTTTTCTAATAAAATATTAATTTATAAATCAGTTATGCCCGACTGTGGTATCTTTTATTTCAAGTTCAAATGGATATACCCCGGTATATCGAATCAAAGTAGGAATGCAAATGAATATTGTTAAGGTTTCGTCAAAGGTCAACATGTCTAAAAAATTATTTTTACAATAGCTCCAAAACTATGTGTGGTATAAAGTCAAAACGTTTACAGTTTATAAATATATCATTGATTAATAGATAGAAAGTATCACTTGATGACAAATATTTTTAAAATGATATTTCTTGAGAAAAATTGTATCAGAAAATGTGCATATTTAAAGAAAAATGCACCTGATAAATTCTGTCTTTTTTGTGAAAACCATCATTGCAGAAATAATATATGTTTATCATTAAAGGGCAAGTTGGACGTGAATGGTCTCTGAAAGGCTGTTATTGAAAGCATGACATGTATAAAGACACGACCCCTATAGAATCCGCCATTTGCAGTGTACTTTCACTTTCAAGCCTTAACATATTTGGTCAAAATAAACACGGAAAACAACTTTCCAGAGGCTATCCAAGTCCAACTTGCCCTTCATTGATAAACATATTTTGTTTCTGCAATAATGGTTTTCACTAATAGCGCTGAATTAATTAGGTGTATTTTTTGAAAATATGTGCATTTTAAAGAAGAATTTATCTCAATTAATATTTTTTTCAAGTATATCTTTTATCAAGTGATACTTTTTATCTGTTAATCAATGAAAAATTTATAAACTGTAAAAGTTTTAACTTTATACCTCACATAGTTTTGGGGCTATTGTAAAAATAAATTTTTGGACATGTTGACCTTTGACGAAACCTTAATTTAAAAAATCCGTCCACATATGGCAGGAGCAAAATGTAATATTTTCTGCATGTCATCTCTCTACCCAACCGCTGAAAAACATTGAAACAATAAACGTGTGTGCAACTGCTCGTATCATATTGTCACTGACGACCTAAATTCATATCTATTACCTTCTCCCTCTTCAAGAAAACTTGTATCGTTATTATTGCTCCAGTGCACCTGTTTATTGGCGCTAAAAAACGACGATTGTTCATACAAAACTCATTACATCTCAGTGATCAGTGCATGAAAATTGAATAATTCTCGATATCAACATCATATTCCTCAACCATTATATTACTTTCCTCCTACAGTAGGGTGACAAATGTTTTAAAATAAAGCATTCCAATTTATTGTCTGCTGACAATAGTTGCACTTGTATGTAAAATTCCTCTGGATACAATATTTTGCCAAGACGTAGGGTTCTCAAATGTTGTAAATGACAATATGTAGAAGGCAATATGTTAATTACAAACATCACGCATATTTTCTGTTAATTTATTCTACCTCAGTTCAGATGCTAGCAATAAAACTTTTACCTTTAACAGAAACGCCTTCATAATGAATTTTGCTTCAGTGTCAGCTTGGACTTGTTGCCAATTATTGCAAGCTTCGCGTCTATTCATAAATTGTATCTATTTATACTTGGTCATTTTCAAAATGGGTACAACAATGGTAAAGCAAAATATACTTGATTGCAGATTTCACTCTACAGAAATTAATATAACTATAGAGTTCAGGACCAAATCAAAATTCTACCAATATTATTATTTTGAAAAAAAATTATAAAGATGAAGTCTAAATTTTTAGTTTATTTAAATCCCATAAAATCTAAAAATATAAAATACAAATTTATAAACAAATAAATATCTTCTTTTAATTAAAAATTATAAAGTACTGTAAACCAACTTTTATTCGCGACGACTTTATTTCGCGAATTACCAAGAATAAATTAGTTCGCGACGATTAATTTTCGCGAACAAAGCTATTTTGGACCTGTTGTTAATAGGCATATAGACCTTAAGAACCGGTTCGCAGCGAGAAATTTTCGCGATGACATAGCTCTCGCGAACATCGCGAAAATTTCTCGCACGCGAATAAAAGTTGGTTTACAGTATACATTCTTGTATTTGAAAATTAGAACTAAAACACTTAAATTAAAATTACTGTTAAATACAATGTTCTTTTTAATCAAATACATTTATCACAAAAGGGTATTTATATAAATAAAATACCGTAAATCTGGAATTTTTTACGTCGATTTTATTTTGCGAATTCGGGTTAAAATGCTGTTGATTAATTTTTACGTTTCAAAATTTTGCGAATGACCGCTGCTTTGTATACATTTTCTTATTGGTAATCTATTTTTAAGAAAAATATTTTTGCGAATGCAATGAACTCGCAAATTTGCTAAAAATTAATCTACAGCAAAAATTTCCAGATTTACGGTAATAAAAATTTGTTTTTATTGCATCAAGAACTCTGTGTATAAATACTAAAGTAAATGTAAATAATTGAAACAAAACTAAAGGGTAGTTTCAATCTCCAAGATGCCTTGTCCACAAAGAGTAACATATTCTTTTGGCAGTTATCCTGAAAATAAAGCCATAGCTCCATTATCAGCTGTACAATTTCTCTTTCGTCTCATAAACAGAAAACTGACCAGTCAGCAAGGGCCCCGCCATGGGGTAGAATTAAAAGGGTGCAGCTTACGGAATGATTAAAAAATGTATGAAGAATAAGCAACAGCAACTGTATTCTTAAAATTTCAAGAAAATTCCTGAATATTCAGAAACCTGAAAATAATATCCTTGTATTTATATTAGGCAGTAAAGAACAACTTAACATTGAATGTATATTTAAACAATTATAAAGCTTGTGTTATATAGAATGCCAGCCTTCAATAAATGCAAATATCATGAAGGCTTGACCTTAACTTCAAACAAACAGCAGTTGCAGACAAAGGTTTTCATTAATCTTGAAGTGACAGATAAAGAAAAGCCTACTAAATTTTCTGCAGCAGGCTAGATAATTAATCCCTAGGGATAAACTGTACCTCTCTCATCATTTTCTTCTAAAGTTACAATAAGAACTTTTTCAGTATTAATGATAGAATGGGGTTTTTATACAACTATCTTAAAAATTAATAATATTGTTGAATTAACATAAAGTGAAAAAAAAGTAAATCAAAAAATCTTCTTTAATCTATTTCTTGTTTTTAGAATTCAATGAAATCATAACTATTTAACAAAAATAAAATATAAAAATTGATATCTAAATCCACATTTCAGAGTGTTCATAGCATTCCAAATTGACTTAACTTCAAAACAAACTTGATTTGCAGACAGAGGTAGTAATTCATTTCAATGTGACAGATAAAGATAATTCTCTGGATTTTCTTCAGGAGGAAAGCTAATTAATCCCAAGGGACTCATAGCAGCATTCAGTTTACAATGGGAACATCTTCAGCAGTAATCTCTCTTTGCCAATGCATTCTTATATTAAGTTAACGAATTTACCCCACCACCCCAGCTCCAAACCAGGGGACATAGAGAACCAAACTTAGCATCAAAATATGTATTTCTGCCTACTGAACTATCTTACCAAATTTGTACTTGTTTGGGAAACCATTAAAAAAGTTGCCCATTCATTCTTATGCATAGTTAAGGAATCTATCCCACCACCCCAGCTCCAAACCAGAAGACATAGAGAACCAAACTTTGCATCCAAATATGTATTTCTGCCTACTGAATTACCATGATACCAAATTTTAACTTGATTGGGCAACCAGTAAAAAAGTTATTAGAAAAAAACAGAAAATTTGTGGACGGAAGAATGACAGACGGACAGCTAGACAGCTAGACAGACGGACAGACAGAGTGATTACTATAGGGCACCCGCAAATCCTTGCGGGGCCCTAATTAATCCATTACTTTCTCCTGATACACTAACTTACCTGGAATAGGTATTATCAAAGAGTAGTGTGTAGATCCCCGTCTGTTTGGCTGTCAGTTCTCCACGGACGGCCTGTTTGTGTGAGTCACACTTACAAGCTGGTACCAGGCAGTGAGTGATGGCAGGGTCCGGTCTCTCAAACTCCATGTAGGTTACACTAAATATCACATCCTGTAATCAAAGCAGTCAAATAAAGTAACACATACATACATGTACATTTAAATGTATGGCAATATAAATAATTTGTGAATGTGATAAAATTTATTATGAAAGTTAATTATAATTTTGTTATGAACCAAGCATTTAATAAAATTTATAATGAAATTTTTTTAAAAACATCATTAAAATTCAAGTCTATTGATTCAAAATTTCATTGGCAAGTATGGCATCAGAAAGTATCTTCAGTTTTCACATACGTGGATAAGAAACATACAAAGTCTCATCCATTTCATTAGGTCTCATTATTTAATTTTTGAAGACAGGGACTGGGTTAAAATAATCTTTTTACCATTATTCTAATAAGAGAAAATTATTACAAAGAAGTTTTAACAAATGTAAACTTAGTTTTTTAAAAGAAAAAAATCAAGTTGAAAGCAAATTGAGTTGATGTACTTGAAAAGTATTTCAATATAAAGTCATTTTTCATTTTAATATATTATCAATTGCTGCATTGTTACTTCTTTCTGAAAAATATCATGAATTAATTTGTTGGTCCAAACCTTGGGATGGGATCTAAATTCCCAGCATAGTACAGTATTCTGCTTGTCAATGACTACAGGTATGGCATGACTTTTTCCGGCCTTTACCCAGAATTCACTGGAGTTGTTCACTTCCCCTTTCTCCAGCTCTTCTGCCTTTATGGTTATGCCCGTTGTGACACTACAAAAAATTGAAAACATATATTTTTTTGTTATTTAGAAATTATAGAATTGCAAAAATGCTCCTAATTTAAAAAAAATGAATTTCTTATTTATGGAACAAGACTTAATTAATTGGTAATAAAAGCATAAGCATAAGATCAGGTAATTACATGTACTATACACGCATCAGTGTTATTAATTTTATTTACAATTAATTGATACACATTTTCAAGTTATTTTTTGATAAAATAAGTTGTGAGCAGATTTCTTTTGCAAAAATCAACAAACTATACTGCAAGCAAACTAAAAGTGTTTATAATGTGTAGTTCTCTGTGTATGATAAGATTGTCATGCAGGAAAAATCAAATTTTTAAGCAGCTATTCAAAACAATGATTCATATTCATATACTGAGTACAATAAAAGCCATTAAATGAAGTTTCTATACTGAGTAAAGTACTTGGGATCTGGGTCCTGGTACTGGAATTCTGAGGAGGAAAAACTCTGTGATCTGGCCACTTCCTCATCACTCACCAGGTGGAAAATCTCATCCTTAGAGAGAACTTCATTTCCATCCCTTAAAATTCAGTAAAGAAATATACAGGTATCTATATGTTCCACATGTGTGATATGCTTTAAAGGTCATAACAAAATATATACAAACAATAAAATAAGTCACTAATTTACATTATATAGAAATCAGTAGCATGCAGGTAATAAGTTGAAAATACATGTACATTAAGCATCTAGTCATTCTAGGATCATTCCTCATTTAAGCATTAAGCAGAACTTGCAGGAGCAATAGTTACGGCAAGATACCAGCGCCAGACACAAGGTACAAGTAACATTTACATGGACACATATTAATGAATCCTTACCCCACGCTTCCTTTCTTCACCCTCTTGATCTCGTCCGTTTCATTTTGTCCAACGACGGAGATTGATATATTGGCAGCCACTTGACCCGGTATCATGACCTCGTCCGGCCCCACTCTAGTGCCCCCTGGGTCACTCTCTGGGATGGCTGAAGCAGCTGGCTGAACATCAGAGCCTTTGATTGGAGTGGAGGTACTCTGGGGAGGAATAGATAGGATTGGCTGGGGTAGTGTTGTATCTGTTATTGCTTCAGTCTGGTTTTTGCTATCTGTGTCAGGTTCAGGAATTTCTGTATCTATTCAATTTAACAATGAAGATGACAACAGGGTGATAATGTTTTGATTAATTTAAAACATTCATGATACTAAATTATCTTAAAATGAATTTAAATGCCTCAATTTTAAAAATTATTCATACACAAAAAATAACTTTTAATATATACAAGTTTATATTTAAACATTTAAAATGGGCTTTCAAAGTTAACAGTATGATATCTTGAATAAAAATCTTTTGTTCAAAGTTCGTAAAATAACCGTTACATAACACAAGTTATTTAAACAATATGTCTATCAAGAGCAATGAAAATAACTATATCAAATTGAGTTCTTTATCTTCACGCATGGCTCTGAATATTTCTAAACACATTTTATATCCTAGGTAACTCTATGGAGTGAGTACCTGTCTGCTGACTCCTGATGAGTTTAGCTGAGGTCTGCTCCTCTTCACTTGAGTCCTCCAGTCCTTCATCGTCCTGTAGTCGGCTGATCATAGAGGAACTCAGGGCATCAGACTTGGTGTATTTCTGGTAACAAAGATTACAGGCTCGCGACTTCTTACTGAAAGACAATATTACCATTTACACAATCCTAGTTTACAGCAATCTCACTGATGTTTACAGCAATATTGCTCACATTTACTGCACTTGAAAAATCATATCCTGCTTTTTTTATACAGTGTATCTGATGTTGGTTAATTAACATAGCATTCTATTTTATTAATGAACTAAAATTGATCTGTGAAGTTTTTACCTACAGCCAAAAAGATTTCTTTGTATAAATCTGCATTAGAATAAACTGCTTGAAACTCTAAAACATTTAACAACTGTCAAAAATTGAGTCTATTGCTAGTGTCATTTTAGATTTCATGCATTATATAGTCATAATTTTATATTAAATGTACATATACATGCTATCATTTGCGATGAAAGTAAAACTCTTCATTAATTTAGTTAAGCAAAATATTTATGCTTGTGAAATGTAGTATCTCTTCAGTATGCTGTAGATGACACATCGAATATAAGCAAATGTACATGTAGAAATGAAGAACCAATAAAAGAATTTAAACCATTTGAAAAGCAATGCAAAAAAGAAAGTATCATATGATTTTTTTTTACCTAGTATCATGCTTTAAGCTAATAAAAAATAAATTGAAAAATAAATGTTTATAAAGTAATTGAATTCTACGTAAAATATACAATCCACACTCTATACCAATCACTTGCATATAATTTCAGTACTTCAAAATTTTGTGAATTAACAAATCTATACATCTACATGACCGTGGATCTCGGAATGTTTTTTGTGATTGGATAACAGCTATTTCTTTAACAAACTCTGGACAACAAGACAATTTAATAACTAGTGCATGTATTTGCATGTATGTACCGAAATGAAGAATATGTCAGCAAAACAAAATCATAAAATGTGTGAGTTTATTCAATTCTTGTAAATTTATAGTGGGTCAAAGTTGGAACTCTTCTCATGTTTCTATAATCACAGTCAAGGATTACACTTTATGCAGTTTACCTATAAGTTACATTCAAATGAAAACATTTTCTTGCAAGGTGAATCTTATCTTGTTGTTGTCATCTAAATAGCTCTCACTTGAGCAGGATTATCATGAGCCTTAATTCTGGTTAACTTTGCAATCTCAATCCTAAATGTAGTACTATAGTATATTTACTATAGTTTTTGCAAAACCCATATTGTAACTCATAATTGCAAGAACATTGGTAAAAATACTACATTTGCACTTACATTTAGAAATATTAGGAAGCAGTCTAAAAGGCTTATATTAATCTTACTTGACAGAGAATTATAAAGATGACAACAGCTAGAAGAATAAGAAAATGTTTTCATCATCATTTTTTTTAATTACTGCTCTGCAGTTTATTAAGCATCAACTGCCTAAGCCCAGGTCATATAGTATGATTTGGGAAGCTATTAAATTCATTCCTGAAATACATAACAAATACTATAATATTTAAATCAAGTATATTTTAAAACTTATTTCCAATGATCCTAGTTGCAAATTTGAGGCATAGCAACCCAGATTTGCAAACAGGTAATGTCAATTTGTGAAAATGTTGTGCACCGATTCCATTTATATACATATAAGTATCATATACACAAATATATACACACTAACCTGCTATAGGTGGAGTCAACATAATTGTTACTACAGTTATGACAGAAGACACCCCCACACAATCTACAGTGGTGCTGAAAATAAAAACATAATTCAAGGTAAAAGAAAAATAGGTTGTGTTAATGTCACAATTTTTTGTCTCCTGAAAATATGGGCTTTAGTGAATTTCATATAGTATAGGAACATGCATGAATAATTTTGTAAATACAGTGTACATGTATTTTTTTTATAGCGAATAAATATAGACTTTACTTAACAATTCTTTGTAAAAATTTTACGGTTATAACGAACTCGGATATAGCGAATTTACGGATTTAGCGAACTGATTTTGATTTAGAGGTAAAAAATAGTAAAATTTACATCTTTTATAACGAATTTTCAAAATTCTCGAAGGTAGATATATTGAATTGACTTTATTTTTAGTAAGTATTTGCAAATTAACATTCAATTTGTAATGAAAACCTCAGTTAGTCACGATATGTTTTGTAATAATTGTTTCCTAACCATATTCGGTTTTAATACAAAGGCAGTGAATATATACAAAATTTCTCGGATACAACATAAAAGCAATATACAGATCCCCAGGACTTCGCTATAACAGAGTTTTACTGTATATATTTAAATGTATGAGAAGGCTATGAGTTCACAGTGGTCAGTATAGTTATATAGACAAATCTTACTAAATAGACAAAACCATAAGCATTAGCACTTTCATTTAAAAATCTTTAGATGCTTTACAATTAAGTTTTTTAACTGTCATCTGTATATATAGTAAATAAAATATAAACTGCCTATATTTTCTTTTAAAGTGCAATGAAAATCTTATTTTTCTGCATAATACAAAAGCAGTAAAACAATCAACTATCGCATTCTAAACCAGTAAATGTGCACAAACAAGAGAAAATCTTTAAAACCAAAAGTAATTTTCAAGCAAAGGTAATGAATAAAAGTACTAACCATAATTTGAAATAATCCAAAAAAAAACAAAAAAAATTTTCTTAATCATAAAAAATCTTTGTAATTTCATGATAAAAACTCTAATCTCTCAAAAAAGAAAGATTACCATACATAAATAGTTTTGACATTTAAAAAGCTCATAAAAAAATCAGCTCAAACATAAGTTTTAAATAAACAGAACATGCACCTTTCTAACCATGAACGTGAACTCTTGTTTACAGCCCAGGCATTTAGTGACTGTTTTCTCGTCCATCCATTTCGCAGATGACTGCATTTTCTGTTCATACGCTAGACGATCCGTTTGCTGCCACAAAGTATCTTTCTCCCTGGGTAAACAAAGAAAAATTAAAGCAGTAATCACAACTAGCTACAAGCTTTAACCTTAGAGTGTATTAAAATCTTTAATTGTGATGATGCAATATAAATTTACAACACTTTAAATGTTCTCCAGTCCAATCAGTCTACGATGCATAAAAAGATTTTGTATTATTCAATTTATTGTACTACTCTTTTGAATCAGTGATTTATAAAATCCTAACAGGTCCTATCTTAAAACACGTAATCTATAAATTGTGTTAATCATCAGTCATCAAAGATGACACCTCTTCGGACCATCTCTAACAGCAAGTAACAATTAAGAAATGCTTTATGTCATATAAACTTACTTTGTTAGTTGTACAATTTTCTTTTTTAACTGTTTCATGTCACTCTTTAGCTGTGATATTTCTTTGTCTTTAGATTCTTCTATAGATTTGAGTTTATCAGTCTTTTCTTCCTCTTTTTTCTGAAAAAAAAATGAATTCTAAGCTGTAATCAACAATGTTATGTACATGTACAATGCACGTGATATGGAAAAAAAATATTTGTGTAATAAGAGCAACTATTTTTAATATGGAACATTTTTTTTATTTATATATCATTTGAACTGTTTTATTTATTTTATTTATACCACTTGAAATCAAAGGATGATGAAAATATTTTTATGTAATTCTATCAACAAGCAGCAACCTATGCCCTCACCCTCAACTGAACACATGTTTTCTCTTTTGATTCTATATCTTTTATTTTCTGGAAAAAAATAAATAAATCTAACACTTGCAGGAACAACAATGCAAACCAACATAAACCAGGAAGTAATTATTATCAAAACTCACCTGCTTATTTATATTTTATAAAATTGAAACATTATTCAAAAGTATTCAAAATATAGAAGTGTTACTTTGATGACTCTTACATGTATAAACCAACAAATCAATAAGATAAGGCATGCATTTTTTAAAACGTGTTAGCACTAATAAGCTCAAGGAAGATGTCCAAGTATTTAAAAAATAATTAATTACCTCTGTTAATTCTTCAGCAAGTGCCTCTTTTTCCTTTTCTATTGATATTAATTTAGACTTTAGTTCTTCTAACTGTAAAGAAGTTAAAATCATTTAAATAAAATTAAAAATTGTCATTTGTTGAATGGAAATTGATTATAAATAGACTGGTTGATTACAAGTGTACTATATACATTGCATACAATTTATACATTTAAAACATAGAAATGCATAAAAAAAATACATATTAAAAATTTATAGCTAAATTTTCAAACAAGGACATTATACCTTTAAGCCATTGTTCATACTAAACCTGTCCATTTGTGTGCTTTTCAAACATTTATATATCACAGCAGTATAATTACAATAACTTTGGAAGAAAATTCCTTGATAGAAAACACCATTATGTTACCTGCTTCCTGCTACTTTCACTTTCTGTTTCCCTGTCCCTCTTCAATGTCGTAAGTTCCTCCTCTATGTTCTGCACCTGTACATCTTTCTCCTGAAGCTTTTCCTCAAAGCTCTTTACTTCAGCCTCTCTGGCAGCATTGCTCTGATGCAGGGAAAAGAAAACATTAAGAAGCAGTCCACCAAAAAAACAGGCAATGTGTGGCACATTGCATGTTATGAATTTTAATTATTTTTTGCATGTAGACTTATTAAAGCAAGTGTGGACTGCCTCTTAAATGAACAACTGTGAAATTACTAATTTTTTGGATCCATGTTTGATATGGGACATTATTTTTACTTGATATTTACCTGTAATGATTTCTCATGCTCTATTTGATCAGAGCTTAACTGGAAGTTCAGAGCTGTGATTTCCTGCTTCAGAGTCTCAATCTCTGAGTTTAGTTTTGTTTGAGCTTCCCTGTCTTCTTCTTTACTTTGCTTCATTGTCTGATTTTCTAGCATGGCTTCCTCTAAGGAGTGTTCTAATTGTTCAATACCCTGTGATTTGTCACTTAATCCACTTTCCAGTTCCTTAACTCTGTCCTGCAGAGTGTTCCTCTCTACTTCCATCTCACACACTGTTTTTTCCAGAGCTTGTATCTTATTCTCTACCTCATGTTTTTCACCTTTCCATTCACTGTCTTTTCTTTTTAGTTCCTCTTCAAGTTCATTCAGCTTTTGCTGTAAATTACAATTTTTACTTTGTTGCAACTCCTCTGATTCACTGAGCTTTTCCAATTTCTGTGCTAGTTCTGAATTTTCTAACTTCAACTTTTCTGTATCCTCTAGTAATTTCTGCTTTTCTTCTCTAAGTTTTTGACTTTCCTCTTGAATATTCCTAAGATCACATTCAGTTCCTTCTCTTTGTACTTCACTTTGACCAAAATCCTCTTTTAACTTGCTCAGCTCCTGCTCTAACTCCTGTTTTTCAGTTTCTGCTTTCTCTTTTTCACTGTACACTGTTTCTAATTCAGATGAAGTATCATTCAGCTGTTCTTTGAAGCTATGGAGTTCACTAAGCGCTTCTTCTAGTTTCACATTCAGGTCAGTCCTCTCAGTCTCCATTTGATCCAGAACTGTCCTGTGCTCTTTACTCTGCTTCTTCTTTTCCTCCTGAATCAGTGAAAATTCCCGCTCCACATCAAACAACTTTGTCTGTACAGCTTTCTTTTTCTCCTCCAGTTGAGCTTTTTCTTGATGCAGTTCCTCAGTTTCTCTCTGAAGTTCCTTATTCCTCTCCAGAATTTTCTCCAGTTCCTTTAACTTTTCTTCTTGTTCAGCTAATTTTATATCATATTTTTCCTTCCACTGCCTAGCCTCGTTTTCATGTCTTTTCACCATTTCCTCTAAAGCTGCCTTAACGCTTTGTAACTCCTTTATTTTCTCTGACAGGGAGGATACAACCTTTTCCTGCTGATTAATTTTCTCCTCCAAAGCTTTCTTACTTTCAAGATTACCTTCATTAGTTTTACAGCTTTGCTGCAGTTCCGCTTCAGTTCTTGTTGATTGTTCTTTTAAGGCCGTTATGTCACCATTTTTTAAGACTATCTCTTCTTGTAATTTGATGTTCTGCGCATTATATTCATCACATTTTGTTACTGTTTTCTGAAGTGTTGTTTCAGTTTCCCCTAGTCTCTGCTCTAAGTCTCTAATCCTGTTTTCCATGTCTGACACAGTCCTATCCTTCTCTACTATTTTCTGCTGAAGATCGTTTTGTTCACTCTTTGAGGTATCAATAACTTCCTCTAAACTAAGTTTTTCCTCCTGTAGTTTAGATATTTGAGCATTATGGGTTTTTATGGTCTGATGGCTTTCAGTCAATTTATTTTGAATGGTTGATTTTTCTGATAAAACTTCACTTAACTGATGTTTTACTGAATTTATTTGTTCACATAATGTTCCAACCATAGAAGAAAATTCAGGATGTCCATCAACAGATGGGGCCTACAAAATGAAACATTCTATCATTAAAGTAGTGCAAATGTTTTTGAATGTATTTCAGTGGAGGAAATTCAAATGCACTGGAGATCAAAGCAGAGTTTAATTCAAGAAAATGACCAAAAAATAAAGTCAAGGTCTCATGGTCAAAAACACTGGTATATATTTAAGAGTCATGCAAAAGACATACCAAATATGAAAATCCTACTTCAAACAAGACAAATGATACGTATAATGTTTTATGGAAATATTGTTTACAATTTGAAAATTTAGGTCAAACGTCACTACTTTTAAATTTGACATCTGTAATTTAAGGTCAATTTTCTAACCAAAATGTTATATTAATTAAAGACAGGTTAGCAAAAGTATGGGCTCAAGTTCAATATAAGACGAAAATAGTTCCAATTTTTTTTTTCTCGTAAGAATATTATTTTTTGCATATTCATCAATATTCATAAATGTACAAAATAAAATAAATTAGCATGTTTCGCATATGAATCAAATGTGAATATTAATGAATATTTGGGGCCATTATTGGTAAATTAGTTATATAAACCAATTGCATTCTATATTGTCAACCAATTATTATATAAAATGGATCATAAAGTACGAAACAAGATATGTATCTTACATATGATTTTATTTAAGTATCAATAAATTTAATGTGCACTTAGTAGTCATAAATGAACATTTGTTCATAAGCATGCTACTATGTCTGGTCGACAGGCAGACGGGTTGACATTATTATAAATGCTACTAAGGTTGACATTAGTGTAAATATATATTTCCAAGTCATAAAATATCATTTGTTCAAAAAAATCCTTATATGTCTGCTTAACAGGTCGACAGGTTGACAGGTCGACAGATCGACAGGTTGACAGGTTGACAGGTCGACAGGTAGACAGGTCGACAGGTTGACAGGTGGACAGGTCGACAGGTAGACAGGTGGACAGGTTGACAGGTGGACAGGTTGACAGGTGGACAGGTGGACAGGTTGACAGGTGGACAGGTCGACAGGTAGACAGGTCGACAGGTTGACAGGTCGACAGGTAGACAGGTCGACAGGTTGACAGGTCGACAGGTAGACAGGTTGACAGGTTGACAGGTCGACAGGTAGACATGTCGACAGGTAGACAGGTCGACAGGTTGACAGGTCGACAGGTGGACAGGTCGACAGGTAGACAGGTCGACAGGTTGACAGGTCGACAGGTCGACAGGTAGACAGGTCGACAGGTCGACAGGTAGACAGATCGACAGGTCGACAGGTTGACAGGTCGACAGGTTGACAGGTCGACAGGTTGACATCAATAATACTGTGAAGTTTGAAAGTAAATTTGTTAATAAATGTGCTTTTATATCTGGTTGACAGGTTGACAACATTATTCAAATGTATTTTGAATTGACAATAAGACGTGTTGACAATTTATATATTAAGCTCATTTATAGTAAAATGAGTCAGCATGATACACATTGTTGAGGTAATTTGGTTTCTGTGTCAAATGGAGATGTATATACATCTAACTGTTATCAGACATTGCGCATATATAATGAGAATAAAATTTAGTCTTTCAGGCATTCAATATACATGTATCTTATGATATAACCTATCTACCTGTCAACCTGTCGACCTGTCGACTTGTCGACCTGTCAAACCTGTCAAATTTTTGTTCTTCATTTCAACTGTGGACCTGTCTACCTGTCGGCCTGTCGACCTGTCAAACCTGTCAAATTGTTGTTCTTGATTTAAACTGTTGACCTGTCTACCTGTCAACCTGTCGACTTGTCAGCCTGTCGACCTGTCAACCTGTCGACCTTTCAAATTATTGTTCTGAAAACAATTTCATTTGTTTAATATTCATTAAAAAGTAATTTGCATTTAATGTTTTGTTCATATATTTATATTAGAATATAATTGATATAATTATACATGAATATTTATGATCTTACAAAAGTATTATAATAACAAAACCGATTTACTGCAGATTATGTGGATGGGACTATTTTCGTCTTATTTTGTACTTGACCCAAAGTATGCATAATTTTTGTATTTTGGAGGAAAATGTATTCTTTCTAATACACATGTATATACAATGTATACAGGGTACATTAAAATGTGAACTACCAGAAACCTCACCTTCCCAAGCTGGTTTTCCCCATCACCTGATACAACCCACTTCAGTGAATGGAGCATACTCTCTATCATTTTATCCTTTTCCTCAATAACCTGTAATTTTTCTTCCACTAGCCTCTGGTTTTCCTCCTTTGAATTGCTGACTAGTTCATTCTTATCATTGGCATGTTTTAGTTCTGTCCTTAGATTGGCACAAACTTGTTCAAAGTCATCTTTTTCATGAGAAAGCTGTGAAATTTTTTCATTTAATTTTACACAGGTATCTTTCTTGTCCAATAAAGATGATTCCAAACCTGATATTTTACTCAGATTTTCACCTAACTGTTCATCCTTTTCCTGAATAATGTCTGTTTTTGTCTTTAATTGTTCACTGAGGTCAGACATTTTGGACTCATGTTCATGTTTCATTTGTTCCGCTTGACTGGTAAGTTCAGATATCTGATTCTCCATCTCCCCTATACAGGTATTTTTCTTAATTAATTCAGACTCCAAACTAGCTTTTTCCTTTTCTAACATCTTAAGTTTTTCTACAGTACTATCATTTTTACTCACAAAATCACTCAGTTTATCATTTAATTCCTTTACCCTTTGTTCATTGTTTTCTTGTTCTCTAGATGCACTTTCTTTTATTTCTTTAAGCTGTCTTTCTAAGTCTTTCACATTTTCTTGCCATTTCTCCTCACTCTCAGATTTTTCTTTCTCGATTCTTTCAATCCAGACCTTCCTTGACTCACTCTCTTTCTCTAATTCCTCACACTGGACTTCAAATCTCAGTTTCTCTGCCTCGACTTCCTTCAGATTGCCGACCAGTTCCTGCATTTGGTTGACAGAATCCATCTTTGCCGACGCCTCACTGTCTTTGGTGGTTATCATGGTTTCCACTTTCTGAAGCAGTTCCTGGTTTTTTGTTTCCAGTGATTTTATCTTGTTCTCCTGACTAGAAATCAATTCTGACTTTTTTGTTTCTCCCTCTATGCTGGTTGACAGATCTGACATCAGTGTACGGACCTACCAAGCAAAGGTCTCTCACAAATTATTCTTATACACTGTACAAATTTAAATAAGGAAAATAATCCCTTCAATAAACTTTCAATAAATGCAGATACATTTCTTAAGTTTTATTTTTCAATGATGCCTTTACAAATTTAAATACAAGGAAACACCCTCTGGTAATAAATATTACTTAACATTTAGTTATAACAACACTTATTTCTTGATAAAACAATGTGTAAAGAAAAAAAATTAAATGATAGAATGTAAATCAATTTTAACTGTTTGTCCTTGGCTACCACATATTTTTAATTTCCAGGTGGTAAAACTGAATTTTAATTTCTATTCCATATTAGAATAGGCAAAGTTACAATTTATAACCTAGATTCATCCTGTGATAAAAAAAAAAACTTTTCCTTAATGGAGGTGAACTTTTTTGTTGACCAGTTAAAATCTAAATCAATCCTAACAAGCAGATACAGAAGTTAATCCTTACCTGCATTTGGAGATCCCCATTGTTCTTCTCCAGCTCCATGACCTTTGACCTGTGGCTGTCATGGCTGTCCTGATGTGACATCTCCAGCTTAGAAATTTTCTCCTGAAGTGATAACTCCACCTCTTCTTTCTTCCTTAGATCCTCCTCTAAGCTTTTCATTTCTCTCTGATGAACTTCTTCTTTCATTTTAATTTCTGTTTCCTTGGATTCAACTTCTAGACACATCTTATCATAGCTAGAACACAACACATAGAAATGTTTTTAATCAAGTGAAGTAAAGTGAAATGTATCATTCAAAATCTACCTGTACATTTCATCATCTCAGATCCTACACTTTAGATTCATTTTATCCAATCTTCAATAGGGAGGATACTATAGATAATCATTTTTCTCAACAACTTATTTTTGCAAGAAAGTTATTAACCTTTATATCTGTAAGCTAGGGGAAAATATCAATAAATCTCTTATTTTTGTACACCAGGTACTAAGGGTGAAACGTTTACTGAATTTTGTAAACGTTTAAACAAGCAGCAATAAACGAAACGGTACCGTTTAAACGGGAGTTTTTTTATGTGTTGAATTGTTATGGCTACTTACTCATAAAACACTAATTTAATAAACCATTCTTTCACTATAATGTTAGTATGAGTTGTCATTACTGTTTATTTGTTGGTTTTTATGACGAAAGATAAGGAAGTGTAAAAAAAACTGAAACTAGATAGCAATATAAAAATATAATACGATAAGATTGAGGAGTCCGGTTTACGTTCAATTTTTCAAAGCTCTATATTCAACATTATACCGTTATAAGCATGATACTTTTTATTTTCTTATCAATAAAGAGCAACAACAAAAGATTATTTATTCTAAAACATATTCTTGGAAAAATAAAATAATACATCGCTAGTTTTCACTATATACTCGGAAATCGGAATTAAATATGTTAGACCATATTGGTTTCTAGATAGTTTTGTATTACGTTTCCGGTATCGATTATAACGAAAAAAAATGATTGTAACAGACACAGAGTGTGTTTTCTTTAGTAAATATGAAATAAAACAACTTGTTTGGACGAAAGTTTTTTTTTTCTGATAGACATTAATATTAACCTTCGTGTAAACGTTTACTCAATTTGTAAACGTTTAGAGCAATTAATCGAAACATCGCCGTTTACACGTGTAATTGTTTCGCCCTTACCAGGTACATGTATATAATCTTTTATAAAATACAAATATACATGAAAATCACATTTTTGTGAGCTAATGGTCTTATATAATTACGAAGAAATAAAATTCTCCTGAGTAAAGTGTGATCAACATTAACATTAAACATTAACATTTCCCCACCTCCTCTGCAGTTCCTTGTTTTCTGCTGTCAGTGCCTCGTGCTGTGCCTTTATGTCGCTGTACTGACCCTGCAGGACCTCGAGGTCAGTTTTAGAGAGGACCACGGACTGCTGTAGACTTTTCTTCTGCTGCTCCAGAGCCTCTATCTGGTCATCGTATTCCTGTCTCAGACTGTTCTCTACATCATAGGATTCACTGAATGACTCGCCACGGCGATCCTAAGTATAAATGTTATCAATCTTTATTTTTTATTTTGTTTTAGTAGACTCATTTTTGCTAGCAAAGAATGATAATCTGCTATTCTTTTCTTTTCTCCTTGGCAGATTGGCCCATAACATAAAAGAGGAGAGGTGCAGAATATCATACTTGCCTAAGAAAGATGCATTAGACAATCATAGAGAAAGGGAGGATATGTTTTCTAAAATATTAATTTGAGAAATATGAATGACTATACTAGTATAGTATACTAATAAGACAGCTCAAACTGACCTGTATTGTTATACTGATAAGACTGCTCATACTGACCTGTATTGTTATACTGATGAGACAGCCCAAACTGACCTGTATTGTTATACTGATAAGACAGCTCAAACTGACCTGTATTGTTATATTGATAAGCCTGCTCAAACTGAGCTGTATTATTATACTGATAAGACTGCACAGATTGTCCTGTATTGTTATACTGATAATATGGCTCATACTGACCTGTATTGTTATACTGATAAGACCACTCAAACTGACCTGTATTTGTATATACTCATAAGACTGTTCATACCAACCTGTATTGGTATACTAACCTGTATTGGTATACTAATAAGACTGCTCATACTATCAGCTCTGCTTGGAGGATTCCAGTGGTGGTTTCCATGCTGAGTTTTCCTAAATTTATCAGAAAATATTCAATTATTGAGAAATGTTATCAATGTGGTCATCATTAAAATAAAAGGAAATTCAAATGAATAGGACAATCTTTTACATAGTGCTTTTTTAGCACTCTTCAAACTCAGGGTGAAAAAAAAATTGGTAGTTAGGTAGGTGGGAATTTTTTCTCCAGAAAATGTCAACGTATATATTATTGTGATGAGAAAAACAAAGAATAAAAAGAAATTTTTTTAAAAATTCACATAAGTTAAAAAAAGTTTGGAGATCAATGTGCCATTTGTACCCAGTTTGTCAGGAAAGGACAAACAAACAATTTTATATAAGATGGCTAAGCATTTTACAACATCAATGACAAAGATTTCCTCCATAATTGTATCTTTTACAATGGAGATTTACTTTGCAAATGATGGCCAGGCATTGTCAAGGTCATATCCCCTAGGAGCAAGGTCAAACTGGAGTTCACTGAGGTCATAAAGGTTACTGATCAAGGTGCTGCTCTTGTCATGGTTCAGCCAGATTGACTTTGGGTGGAAATAATCACTACAATTCAACACAATTACATTAACAACAAAATTATATATCCTTTGCTAGTTCTAAACAGTTTAGTTTCAAAATTCATCAGTCAGAATTTAATCTAACTGATAATATACAGTATAAGTGGAAATTTTAGCGAGAGGCAAATTTAGCGATTTGTTCTTAAAAATTGGTACTTTATTCTTAGCCAGTTGTAATTTTAGCCATTTTAAAATGATCACTATAGAAGCTATTACAGATAAAATGTAATTCATTTTTAGCAATATTTAATTTTAGAGATCTCACATCCTCGCTAATAATGCCAAAATTAAATCTTAGCTTGCTAAAAATTCTGCTTATACGGTATTAAATGAATAATAGTAACTTATGACTAAAATTCTATTCATGAAAAAAGTTCTTCGTACCTATTTTCAATATTCCAAGACATTAAATAAAGTTGAATTTAATTTCATCTTTTCTGAATATATTTTAATAACTTACATCAGGCAAGTATGAATTACCTCTTTTAAATTTTTAAATGATACTAAATAGAGTGAACATGGTGAACAGTTGTATAAGATAATACCTTGTAACTTTTCCATTCATGATACAAGCCTGTATACTGTCTGCCATTCTGTTGTGCATCAAACAGAACCTCAGAAAAGCTCTTCCTTTACCTACTGATGTCTTGTACTACATAAACGATTACGAGAAATTACAAAAAATGAACTGATATTTGTCTTCATTCTGAAGAACATTGCCTTTCAATAATTTGAATTAAACCAGTGATAAACACTTTTTCAAGTTTTTTCTTCCTTTTTAATTAATGTTTAATTAATGTGACAGAGAGCCTTAAAACACTTACATCTCCGAGGGTTTTACATGAACACTTACATCTCCGAGGGTTTTGACGTATTTAATCCCATCGTTGATCCCTTTGGTGGATCCCAGACAGTCACAAATATAATCCCAGTAATCCTTCTTCTTCCCCAGCATGGAGTATTTATCTGAACAACAAAATAAGTGCAAAAATAAAAGAAATTTATGTATTGTCATTGCTTTTGTCTTTTGTGGATGCAAGGACTAGCTGACACATTCAGTCACATAAAGTTTGGTCACCTGCTAAATGGCACTAGAGCTCAAAGCTCCATGCCAAACAGAATAAGTCATTACAAGTGAATCTTACTTACGTTAATGTAAACCAACTATTATTTGCATCATTTTTTTATTCGCGATTTGTCCATTTGAAATCAATCCGCGACATTTTATTTTTGCGACAGAGGAAAAATTCCTTACAAATACTAAGCAGAATTATTCATTCGTGGCGATTAATATTCGCGAGTTTAAGTCAGTCTCGAAACTCGGGAATATTTCTCGCACATGAATAAAAGTTGGTTTGTATGAAAAAGTTATTGTAAACGAATTTTTATCAAAAGTTAAAAATATCTGCAAGTTTCAACCTTCTTTCATTTGGAATTATTTCTGAATTCTCATCACAAGCCTATTCTCAACCGATGAGTTTAAGTAGAATGTTGCCTCAGTTCCAAATATTAGTAGTCACAGATGCGTTCCAAACTGAAGCATTGTGAATAATAGTTTGTAACTGTATATGAAATTTATTTCATGATTTTCTACTTTATGAAACAATGATGTAGAGACCTTTCATATTAGCTCTTAACAAGTACTCCAGCTTGGCACAGAATCTCTGAAGTTGTTGGTTGTCATCTGTAAGAGGTTGGTGATTGTCTTCAAAGTCTGACTTCAAATCAGCAATACACTCTAGAAATTTAAAGTGAATAATGAAATATTTACATATGCAAAATAAGTAACCCGAGGGTGTCTGGACACCATAAGTTCTTATATGTTCTTAAATAACCAAAGAATATTCATATAAACGAGAATTTCATTGATTTTAAAGTGAAGGGGTGGATTATTCATTTTAAGACTTAGAAGCTATTTTAGATAATATCTCCAACAATTTATTTGGTCTATTATCATGATTATGAAATCATCTTAGCTAGCCAAGGGTTTCTGATATGCTACTCTCCTCATGAACCCTTGGCATATGGTGAAGTCAAAAGACGGGATTGTTTTCGTCACATGATCTTGAATCTATCAGGTACGCACAGATTGCGTCATCGACAGAAATAAAGACGCGTGTTTAAAAAAAATTAAGTTAAATTTTTTTCAAGAATAATTAAGAAGCAATAATTTTATTTATGCTTATTTATAGTACAAATCTGAACTTCAATATAGATTTTCAATCACATATTTAGAAGATATTGGATGACACCATAGCTATTCATAGAATTGCATGTTATCTAACGGATCTTTTTTTACTTGCATTTTTCATCCCTGAAATTAAAGAGTCAAGAAGTATCCCAAATGCAAATATCGTCATTCACAAAAAGCAATTGCTGATTGGTCAACCGGGTGTACCAAATCCCAATCAGAACTTGAGATAAAAGACCCAACTTCTATCAACACCGTATGCCAAGGGATTATGAGGAGAGTAGCGTTTCAGAAACCCTTGGCTAGCGAAGATGTTATGAAATATGAAGCAGAAAATTTTGTGGCCTTTTTCACAAAAAATCATGATTATGACAAAAAATTGTCCCATTCTCCAACAAATATCTTCATAGTAGTAGATCGCAAAAACTCTTGGTTCTATATTCCACAAGACATTTTCATTTTCAAAAATATTTTACAAAGAAATAACTATCTTTATTGATTGAAAACTTACAAGAGTAGTGGCTTTTATTGTTTTACCCCGGTAGTCTTAATAGTTTTTGTAAAAAGGGCCAATGATCATTAAAAGAGTGAAAAGTTTATACCTCCTGTCTCCTCTTGCTGAAAGCCTTGGCTGATAATAAATAAATATTTTGTCTCCTATTTACCTGATATATCCTGTATTATTTTGTCATTCTGAGGGTAAGACACCAGTGTTGGAGATGATGACATTTGTGGACCAGGGGAGGGAGAAACTTGCTGCCTTCTGCCAGCTATTGGCACAACTGGTACAGACATGGTTACCTATAAAGGGAAAATGTTATTACATGTAATAAAAATAATTAGTAAATATTTTTCAATGAAGACAGCATTTTCCAAAAGAATAGTTTTTATAAACTTTACCTCTGAATTTCAATCATTCAACTGCTTTTATTCATCAATACCAGGGACCTATAAACTCCTATACTTAGTATATAGGTCTCTGTTCAAAAGTATTAAAAAAAGTATACAGTGTATACGTTCATGGTGTACATGGAATATTGAAACACAATCTCTAAAATAAGCCTAGTAACTAAGTCACAAGGAAGTAGATGCATGTACAACACTCTATTTAGACACGTCACATTTTAATTAAAAGTACACTGTATAATATGTATGATTTGAATGTTAAACTAGTGATATATAATTCATGTAATTGGTGATTAAAATGTAAAATTCGACATATCTGTTTACATTTGTATAATTTTTACGTGGATTTATAATACAATATTGTCTCACTTTGTCTGAAATATGATTAGCATCTAATCAAACACAACAGCTGCATAATTAAAAGTTAGGCATAAGTGGATGTTGAACTTGAATGCAAGATGAAAAGCCGTGTCTTGTTTCCTGATTAGATCATGGTGCATAAAATAACAATGTGTAATTATCACAGAGTAAAATGTACTAATTATGAATTATTACCGTCCTTTTCTTTGGTTTTTAATCCTTCAATGCAGTCTACATGTTGTTTTATAGTTTTATATATCTCATTCCCAAAACGAAAACAAACGTGTCACATGACCTGTGCTCGAAATAATATTAATTAACTCGTTCATATAAACAGAAAATGAAAGTAGGTTTAAAATGAAAGTGCACCAGGGTGACTAAAGATTTATTTTTATCAGACCTACTGGTCTTACAAAAGGTAAGAAGTTTTTTAAAAAGAAGAAAATCATAAATTGAGAATTTCCAGCAAAATTATTTGATTCATAAATAAGAATGACACCCTCCTATCCGTTCACTTTCCTCAGTCCTCTCTGAGTCTGAGTCTCTCAATATCAATGTTATTGATTCCCGTCTTCATCAGCTGTTCATCATTTCATGGTCTTGTCTTTAGTAATAGTTCTCCCCATCGATCCACCCACACCATCTCTCTCTCTCTCTCTCATTGCACACTCAGCCACAGGCACCTGAATTTTTATCAATAACTATTAAGTCGCTATAAATAAACCAAATATCGAAAAATTCTACCCACTCTATATATAAACGTGTATTTATATAGAGAGGGGGTAGAATTTTTCGATATTTGGCTAATTTAGCGACTTACTGATAAAATCAGGTGCCTGTACTCATTGTCATAACTCCACATGCGTGGATCAAAATAATTTTTTTAAAATATACTTTTCAAGTAAAAGTGACTTTGCCATGTTTCTTCCAATACTTATTTACATGTGCTGAGTTGCTATGAAAAGTCTTAGGTTTCTAGGTATGAAGCTGTAAAAATCAATGCCCCCCCCCCACACACACACACGAAATAGGTTTTTAACGTTTTGGAAAGGTGTTTTGTCAATGTAAAAAAGTAAATAGTTCCTTTGGGGAGGAAACTATTTTCCGAGGCGGCCAACCGGTTTGTTAAGGATTTCCATCCCTAATGGGACCTAATTCTATACCCTTAAATGTACTTCAAGTTCATAGAACACTGCTATTATATTAAAGCATTTTATAGAAAAAGGATTGCCCACGAAAATAAAATTTCATTAATTAAGCAGTAATTATACTAATTAATTAACAAAGTTTGCATTGAAGTCTATGGGGAAAAGCGTTTTTTCAAAATAAAAATTCAAATAATTTGAATATCAATAAATCCTGCGGTGGAAAGATGCACACACACACACACCGGCTAAATTTTTTTAAATAAATTTTTTTTATTAATTAAAAAAAGGGGAGATAGGTTTTTAACGTCATAGATTGGAAAGGTGTTTATACATACTAATAGTAATAAAAAAATATGTAAATAAACTGAGTATTCAATGCCTACATATCAGTTATGTATTCAATTTCACTGAATTTGTTCCCATTAGGGATTGAATACCTTAAAAAGCGTAAACTGTTCCAACCCAGACTTACCAGTATATAAATATTGCATGTAGTTGAGTGTAACATTGAAAATTTTTACCCCCAAGAAAACCATTGTCAACCGAGGCGCAGCTACTTTTAAAAAATCATTCGTTATAGATAAGAAAATAAAACAATTTCTCCTTCAAATATCAAGGGGTCCAGCCTATATTCCTTTGCAAAAGCGTATTTGGATACGCACGAATTACATACAAAAAATCTATCGAAATAAAAGCGACATGCCTTATTACCAGCAAATATTTTCTTCAACGGTCAAGTGTCGCAAGGACTGTATACATGTAATTATTATGGGAAGCCTTTTCGAACCAAGGAAAAGTAATTTGTGTAATAAAAAAAATCATTATTATAATAAAGGTTTTATAAAGTACCACGAAATCAATTGTATGCCACAAAACTCTTCCTACTTCCTTCTAATGTGAACCTAATTTAGATTTTTTAGAACACAGAATAAGTTTATTCCTAAGTACCCCCCCCCCCCCCCAAAAAAAAAATAAATAAATAACTATCGTGCACTGATTGATATCATTAAGATTATGTAAGATACTCAAGTACATTAATAAAATATTGAATCCAAAATGTTAATTATGAAATTACTCGTTAAATGAATTATGCTCTCTTTTGGAATTATGCTTTCGGGCCCGTAGTACTTTTGGAGAGGGGGGAGGGGGGGGAGCAATTGTCTGAAAAATGTAATTTATTAACCATGACATGAAATTGAGAAATGTGTTGTCTTAGAGCGGGAAATTGTTCTTGTCTTTGACACCTCTATCTTTTTCTGAAATATTAAAGAGGGATTTATTCTTTCTGAGTCTTTAATACTTTTAAATTAATTGTTTATTCTAATTAATTTTACAGAATGGCGTCCTCGTCTTGGCAAGATTCACTGTCGTTAAAAGATGCACTTCTCCATATGCTGAAGCAGGAGATTTCCTGTGACGTCAAATTTATTGTTGGGGAAGATTTAGTTGAGGTCAGTTGTCACAGTTTTGTTCTGATTGCACGGAGTCACGTGTTTGAAGCTATGTTGACTAGTCAGAATCCGATGACTGAGCGAGACCAGGAAGGGACAGCGATAGTGTCATTGCCAGAAGTGGATGTAGAAATTGTTCAGTGTTTTCTCAGGTTCGATCCCTATATATAGGATACTCTCACAATGCTGGTTTTTCACGGATTGCACTATGTAGTACAGAATTAGAATAGAATTTATTTCCAATCATGGTCCCACTGGGGGCATAACACAGATACAAGTATATTATTACTTAAAATAGAGACAATGTACATAATGAAACATCAAACCAATTTACCAATGGTGGTATGCAAATATTGTAATACAACATAGTAATATTCAAAAATCATATACAATATTTTGATATGAATTGACTTAATAATCTTAAGATTTACTCATTTTCATTTGTAAAAAGCCATATTAACTTTTCATTATGAACATAATTAAAAGAATAATCCAGTATTAACATGGTGGTGTGCAAATATTGTAAATATATTAAAAGATAAAGGTATATTAATGGTTGCCAGTCTATATATGCACAATTTCTAGTTAGATATCTAGAATGAATGAAAGGTTGCACACAATGTAGATAGGCAAAAATGGTTTTTCACATCATATACAATATTTTGATATGAATTGACTTAGTAATCTATTGACTCATTTTTACTTGTATATTATACGTAATAAAAAGACATGTATACACTTGTATTGTAAATGATTTAATCTTTGCATCTTCACAATTTTTATAGGTATTTATACACAGATGAAGTTGAACTGACGGCAAATAACGTCATGGCAATACTATATTTAGCCAGAAAATATATAGTTCAGACTCTTTCTGACAATTGCCAGGAATTTATAATGAAAGCCTATCTCATGGAAGCGGATAACGCGGTAGAAATATATCACCAAGCCTTCTTGTTTGATCTGGAAGATTTGATGACGGACAGCATGAAGATAATTAATCAAAGAACGGAACAGTGTCTACAGTCCGACCACTTCCTGGCTCTTCCACCAGAGTGTGTTCGAAGAATAATCGCAGACAACCACCACCACCAAGTGAAGGAGGAAACTATTTATAGAAGCGTTATGAGGTGGTGTGAGGAAGAGTGCAAAAGAAGAGGTTTAAAGGAAAATGACGAGGAGATCCGGAAGGTTTTAAAAGATTCTGGTATTTTGTATGAGATACGATTCCAAAATATGGATATACGATTCTTTCGGTCATCTGTTGAAAAGAGACGGATTTTGACAGAAGACGAGAAAAGAGAAGTAAGAGCTCCAAGCTCGAGAGGCAGGATTTTGTCTCCGGGAATATTTAAAAACGAACCAAGAAATGTATGGCAAAGAGTAATGAGAATGGAAGAATGCGAAGAAGAAATGGTACTGGACGATCTAGAACATATCATTGCCTTCGAGTCCTCTGTAGAATGCGTAATGCATGGAATTGTTACATATGGATTAAGCCATGAAAGTAACAAAATTACAGTTTATGTCAAACTTATTGATGCCGATGATAAGACAATAGTTCTTGAAGACTTTTGTTTCGAATCTGATCCTCAAACAAAACATTATGAAGTCATATTTCAAAAAGCTGTAGATATTAAGCCAGATATACCATACCGTGTCTGTATTTCACTGGATGACACCGACTGGTCTTGGAAAGGAAAGAATGGCCGTCACTCTGTGCCCTTCAAAGATGGCGAGGTTACTTTCTCTGATTTCGGTGGGGGAGAAACTTGTATGCTGGAAGGACAGATCCCTGGATTACTTTTATCTTAAAAAGTAAAAATCCTAAATTCTTCTGTCACACTTTAGTCAATGCAGATCACACGTGCTTTCAAAACTTTATACTAGCATGTTTACCATGTACGAGGGGTTATCAAAAAGTTCGTGGACTGGCACAATAAAATTAAAACCGCTTTAGGTATAGTAGTGAATTTTAAAATATTTAGTTATCATCATCTTTTCTATCTATAGAAGAAACCACAAATCATAGATTTTATTTTTAACAAAATTAATAATGTTTTTGTAAGCAATGGTTTGTCTAGGCGGCGCAACCTCGAAAATGACGTTTTTTCGCCCTCGGTATTTTATAATGGCGAAATGAGAAAAAATCCTTTATAATGAACACCTGACATCAAAAAATCCCATTAATTCAGGTTTGTGAAGGGACGGTTTTAGTCCGTAAAATTTGCAATTTTTACATCATTCGGTAAGTTCTATTAGATTTTATCGTACATTTTGTATGGAGTGTCCAAACAATTAAGGGCTTTAAAATGACGTCAAAAGGGCGGAGGGGGTTCTTTTTCCAACATTTTATAAAGTTTTATGCCTGAAAAAACTGTTATACACCTGGAAAATGTTAAATCTGGTTACAGGGAAATAAAATGCATCCACAGGACTTGTTTTTAATGCCAAAATAAATTCCGAGAGAAAAGGAATGAACAGTTAATTTCGATTTGTACTCAAGGTATGAAAGTCAATCATGTCAAAAAATGACGTTGGTTATTTGTGGTAGATATTGAACTCAAAAAGCAGACTGTGCTGGCACAATCAAGCAAGAAACTCTCCCAATGCATAAATACATATGCAATATTAATATCTGCATTGAAAGCAGTCTTTCATGACAGTGTAGATGCATACCAACAAGACGGGTTTAAGTCCTTATTCAACTCCAGGAAACTTCATCAAGATAAGTGTATGGGGTAGAAGAATCAGACTTTGAAAAATATGACGTTTTGGGACGTCATAAATTTTTTAACGATGACAGCGCCGGGTGATCATATAATGTCAATTTTATTTTATAATGATTTGGCAAATAATGAACGTATGAAGCTTAAAATTCTAAAATCTCTTTATTTTTTGTTGTTTTATGTTCCTTATAAATTTTGAAAGCACAGACCACGTAGTATTGATTTTATCGCCTCAGTCCACGAACTTTTTGATAACCCCTCGTATTTGTTTCAATTTGTATTTATTTTTTTTTATTTAATTATGTAATTTTGTCTTTAAACACAGTTGTAAGACAGCAATATTTAGTTCTCGTTCATAAATGTTTTGGAATACTTGCCATAATTTCTTTGATTGCGAATTTAATAAACTTAACGTGATAAATAAAATATCAGTTGATTTCGTTATTTTAATTTATAACAAGATGTGTTTGTGAAACACTATGCGCCCGGCAGCAACAAAGTTCGAAAAAAGCTATTTTTAGCATAAAGGTCACAGTCAAGGTCCCAAGGTCATTGACCTTGGTGTCATTTCAAAGAACTTGATTAGTAGAATATGCATACTAAATGTGAAGTTTCCATCTACTATGGTTCAAAAGTTATGGCGAAAGTTTGAAAAAGCATATAAAACATTTTTAGCATATACGTTTACAGTCAAGGTCACAAGGCCATTGACCTTGGTGTCATTTGAAAGAGCTTAATTAGTGGAGTATGCATACTAAATACGAAGTCTTTATCTTTCATGGTTCAAAAGTTATGGTGAAGGTTAAAGTTTGGGGACAAGTTAACAAACAGACAGACAGACAGACAGACAGACGGACAGATAGACAGACAGACAACAAAAACAATTGTATACGGTCGGATCTTAATCCAAAAGCCATAAAATTCACAAATTTTGAAACTACATGTTTGCTTTGGCGATTGCAAAAGTACATTAGCATAATACATGTATATTCTCATCAAAATCACCATGTGTCTTTCCTTCATTTTATAATGGCGAAATATGGAAAAGAAAAAATTGTACATACAGTTATAACTGGTGAAGAACGAATGCTAGAAATTGAGGAAAAAATTATCGGTTTTGTGATTACTGGTGATTATAGGGTACTCCAGAAAAGCATCTTGATCAGATAGAAAAAGAACAAGCAAATTCAAAGAATTGTGGTCCCCCGCTTATATAAATCTTTGTGGGTTGAGATATATATTTTTATGAATCATATTGTCTCAATATATCGCCCTTTTTTATATGTCATTTAGAAATTTGAAAATCAATCTGAAGGTCAAAGTCAATAGATCACAAATCAAAGCGTGCTTGGAAATATTTTGTCACAGGTAATGCACATGTCAAAGAAAACCATATCTCTTCTCAATATAAGGTACAAGATGTGTTTCTGAAACACTGAGGACCCCTAATGGCAACATAGCGAAGATTAAACTTTTCTTAAATGCAAATTAAACATTATTACCCAAAGATTTTTTTTATTAAAAGTAGATCAAACTCCAAGGCCAAGGTCATTCTTGAAATCCAATGAAAGGTCCTGTCACAAGGATTAAATACCGGTATGTTAAACATGAAAGCCTTAGCCCTAACCCATTAAAAGTTATGGTCAAGGTTTGTGTTTTAAAAGTAAGTTAAACTTTAAGGTCAAGCTTTAAGGTCAAAGGGTCGAACTTCTTTGTATCCAATGAAGGGTCTTCTCAAAAGAATTACATATGTGAAGTATGAAAGCCCTATCCCTTACCGTTCAAAAGTAATGGCCAAGGTTAAAGTTTTTCACAAGTACAGAAATCCCCAAGGTCAATAAGTCAAGGTTGTTGGTATCCAATGAAAGGCCTTGTCACAAGAAATACATATGTTTTATTAACTATTAACCCTATTTTATACCCAAACTTAATATATGGATGCTACATCTAAGGATGCATACTAATAGGCTTGCTTTAGATGCTGAATCTGATCTACATTTTGTGGATGAGTGAGTAAGTTAAAGTTTCTGGTGCAGGTCTCATTTCCAAGTAACTATAAGCCTTATGTTGACCAAACTTGCAAGAAACCATATACTTTTAAGAAAGGCATATCTTAATCAAATTAGCAAATATGATGTATCAAGGGATGAACACTATCCTAGATTTGCTTCAGATGCTTGATTTACGTATTTACAATTTCTGGAACGGTGACTACTTTGAAGGATTTTTGGATAAGTCTATTATATACTTATATACTTAGTATCTGCAAGCCCTGTCTGATCTATATATTGCAGTAATGCTGCATCTTATAGGATGTACACTTCATGATTATTAGTTAAATGTAAGACTTGCCTTACTTAAAGATAAACATTCGTTGAGGCGAGGTCTTAGTCCGTAATATCTGATTAACAACCTATGTTTCATTAGTATGAGTACCATATAGTGTGAATATCCAGACCATGATGCACGGATGGCCTCGCTGTGAAAGTAGTGTTAGAAGGTAAAAAAATTAGTGTCAAATAAAATAGGGAAATGTGTTAATGAACAGATATTTTCCTGACAGAGAATATGTGATGTGTATCAACGATATCTACAAATTAATGACAAGTTAATCCAGAATATTATGAAAAAATCGATAAATCCCTTTTTTTTTGGGGGGGGGGTATATTTTGCAATGAAAGTTCTTTGTATATAAACACCACTAAACAGCTAACAGATATAAATATTTAGATAAACTATTTCAAGGATAAAACGACACAAATAACATTTACTCGGTAAAATCAATAAAGTATATGTTAGCTTATATGAGACAAACCACAAAAAATAGCCTCTGGGTACTGTTTTAGAATTGGATATCCCAAGGTAGGGCATTCAACTTGTTGGTGTAGTACAAATGGATCTAAATACAGTCTGCCTAAAGCCAATACCTCTTGTTTCACTTCATTTTATAACGAAGTTAAATAGTAGGTATTGACCTTAGTCAGACTGATGTAAAGATAACTAACGGTAAATTTGCTAAAGATACAAATTGTTAGAGAATGAACAAAGACGTAAGGAATCATAAGAGGTAGGATCAGATGCAATAAAGCAGTAAAAAGCACCCCCTCTCAACCGGTCACACCAGATGTTAACCTTTAATTTTCTTTACTCAATTCAGTATACTTGTAACAACAATGACCTTACAATTTGTATAAACTTTCCCAGTTGGTCATTGTTTCGACCATAGAACTTATGAAATTCAAATGACATTAAAGGAGACTGTTGAAATTCTTGTTTCATCAACTTGTTGGTCAATAATTTACCCCATTTTAGAAACTGTTCATACGTAGAGCATGCTCTTGTGTTTCGAATCAACTGATATATGTAAAATCCGTATGCAGGTGATTAAGATATATTGCTGCATAAATAAGGGAAGTTGATGAAAGAGTCATCACGTTTATCATAGATCTTGGTTGTTAGATTACCATTAAAGTCTCTTTCAAATAAAATATCCATTGGAGTTCTCAGAAGTACCAATTGCGCCCTTTTATTAGCAGATTTATTTTTGTAATCATTCGAAGCAGAGTTTGTCCAAAATCTTATACGTGAAAAGAGGAAAGATAACGGACAAACAGGTACCTCCAAAACATCAGAGGTGGGATCAGGTGCCAATGAACAATCTATACCTTTTGATAACTCGACACTCAGGGCCATTGCACAATGAGGGATCATCTTTGGACCAAACTTGCAACGCGGGACCTCAATCTATATAACGTTCTCCGCATGACTTAGTGCATTCGAACCCGCGATGTACTAATAGCTGACTCTCTAGACACTGGATCACGTGGACGAAAATATTCCTTTGCCATTATTATTTTTTCCTTAGTCAAATTTATTATAAAGCAAAGGCCTAACAAAATTGCTAACTGTATGATATCTTTAATATTAAATTCATCAGGATATATGAAACTAACTATTTAAGGAATGGTTTTAAGTTTTGTATGAAGAATGCTAGTGCTTCATGAAAAAAAATTGCCTACGTGAAAGTCTGTGTGATTCACACACCAATAATTCACACTAAACTTATAAACATTCTTTTTCATTCTATTTACATTTTGCATCTCTTAAAGCTTAAAAAATATACTCAAAATTCAAATTTCTCGCTGCCCTATTTCGTTGCATTTCTCTAAT